GCCCGGCCTGAAACACCCCAGGTGTGGCTACAGCCCTGCTCCGAGTCTGGTGCCAGGCTTCAGGGTGCGGTGCACTGGCCGTTCTTAGGGATGGCAGCCGCGCCCTGTCCAGGTCCTGGTGGGAAGCATTGGTGGGGCTGTGTGCAGTGGGGGTGTGAGGGAGCCCTGTGCAAACACCTCCAGCTGGGGAGCCCCAGGTTTGCAGCACGTCTGGGTCACCAAATCTGGCTCCTCTGCGCAGCGCCGCCAGCTCCCGCCATGTTCTCACAGACGGGATTGGTCGGGCTGGAGCCATTGGCCCATTACTCAAGATGCTCTAAAAAAATTGAAGCCCTCTGATTGGCTGCGTGTCCCACTTGCCCACCTCCTGCGGCAGAAAAACCAATCACAGATTCTGCAGCCATAGCGCCCCATCATGACGACCCAAAGCCATCCTCACAGTAGTTCTGGGCGCCTCTGCCCCCTCCCCTCCTGGGAGCTACTGAGGCCGGGATTACACCACTGACTTGGTCCACTGCTTTCCCTTCCTGGGAAGAGCCAGAAGGGTGTGAAGATCCCCTTGAGCCACTCCCTGCCAGGGGAGGGGATTCCTCTGCAGCTGCATCCAGGTCTGGAGAGGGGGCTGCAGAGACCTGGGAGGAGCAAAAGTGGGGCAGGGCCTACAGTGAGAGGAGAGATTGGGGGACAACATTAATTACTGGGCAGTGGGTGGGCAGGCTTGGATGAAGCTGCAGGGGCCAAGTACAATTGGGAGAAGGGATAGAATTGACTGTGACCCGCAGATTGGGATGGCAGGGTGGGCAGACCAAAAATGCAGGGTAACCCTTCCGCTAAAGGGGCTGCAGTTGATGGTTTCTGGTGGTTGGCAGCCCTGCCTATGGCTGGGGGGTTGGCTGAAGTTCCCCAGATTCTGTGTGACCCCACTGGTGTGTCTGGCCTTTCCACATCCTTTCCACACTCCTCCCTCAGACACTGAGAGGCAGGACTAAGGATGTTAAAATTTGGCTAATTGACTAGTGGACTAGTTGATGGTATTTCCATGGATTAGTCAACTAGTGGATAGACAATTCTGCGTTCCTCCTTTAAAATGTACAAGATCCCTCCTGGGGGTCTTGTATATTTCAAAGGAGGAATTGCAAACTCCGCTTACAGCTTGGAGCCAGTTGGAAATCCGGCATGCGGGCACCTTTTTTGAAATGCACAGTGGGGGCTCTTGTGCATTTCAAAGCCATGGTGCCCGGGATCAGAGGGGGACTCAGAGTCCCCTGCTGACCACAGGCTCAATGCAACACTGAATGCTACTAGAAGCAATCCCGGGCTCCTTGCGGCATTTCCTGGGGAGCCCAGGGTCAGCTGGGGAGTCCCCAGCTTACCCCGGGCTCCCCGATTTCCTATGCTCCAAACCCCTGTCCCAGCCTGGAGCCCCAGGCCACGCTTGCCCCTTTGAATCGCACAGATGCATGGATTAAAGGGACAGTTGCCGAACAACTGATCCACGGATCAGCTGTGTGTCAGCTATCCCTTAGAACCACACAACTGCACGATTCAAAGGGGCAGCTGCGGAGAGTCTGGGGTAAGCTGTGTACTCCCAGCTGAACCCAGGCTCCTACCGGCATCCAGTGTAGCATGGAGCCCGTAGTCAGCGGGGGACTCTAAGTCCCTCGCTGATCCCGGGCACCATGGCTTTGAAATGCACAAGAGCCCTTGCTGGGAGTCAGCAGGACTTCCCACTAGCCGCAAACTGTGCGCGGAGTTCACAATTCCTCCTTTGTACATTTCAAAGGAGGAATGCAGATGTTCCCATCGACTAATCCACTAGTCAATTACTCACATTTTAACATCCTTACTCCAGCCCTGAGCCCTGTCCTGTACACAAACTGCCTCCTGGAGACCACACCCCGTCCCTCACCACAATCCTCTGCCCCAGCTCGGAGCCCCTTTCCGGACCCTGAACTCCTCATTTCTAATACCATCCCTGAGCCGACATCCCCGGCACAGAGTCTGTACCATTTCCTATGCTCCAAACCCCTGTCCCAGCCTGGAGCCCCAGGCCACGCTCTGAACCTTCAATCCCAGCCTGGAGCTCCCTTCTGTATCCCAAATCCTTCATGCCCAGCCCTACCCCAGAACCCGCACATTAAGCCAGGGCCTTCCTGCCCTCCTCTGACCCAACCCCCAGCCTCGGCCTGGTAAAAATGAGTGAGGGTGGGGGAGAGTGAGCAACGGTGTCTTTGAAATGCACAAGAGCCCTTGCTGGGAGTCAGCAGGACTTCCCACTAGCCGCAAACTGTGCGCGGAGTTCACAATTCCTCCTTTGTACATTTCAAAGGAGGAATGCAGATGTTCCCATCGACTAATCCAATAGTCAATTACTCACATTTTAACATCCTTACTCCAGCCCTGAGCCCTGTCCTGTACACAAACTGCCTCCTGGAGACCACACCCCGTCCCTCACCACAATCCTCTGCCCCAGCTCGGAGCCCCTTTCCGGACCCTGAACTCCTCATTTCTAATACCATCCCTGAGCCGACATCCCCGGCACAGAGTCTGTACCCTTTCCTATGCTCCACACCCCTGTCCCAGTCTGGAGCCCCAGCCCACACGCTGAACCTTCAATCCCAGCCTGGAGCTCCCTTTTCTATCCCAAATGCTACAAGCCAAGCTCCACCCCTGATCCCACACATTGAGCCGAAGCCTTCCCGCCCTCCTCTAACCCAACCCCCAGCCTCGGCCTGGTAAAAATGAGTGAGGGTGGGGGAGAGTGAGCAACGGTGTCTGTGGGGGGGATGGAGTGAATGGGGGTGGGCCTTGGAAAAGGGGAGGGTATCCAAGGAAGGACTGAGGCAGGGGCAGGGCAAGGGAGTTTCAGTTTTCTGAAATTAGAAAGGGTGGGGGAGAGTGAGCAATGGTGTGTGTGTGTGGGGGGGATGGAGTGAATGGGGGTGGGCCTTGGAAAAGGGGAGGGTATCTGGGAAAGGGCTGAGGCAGGAGAGGGGCAAGGGTGTTTCAGTTTTCTGCAATTAGATATAGCGGGGTAGTGTAGCCATACCCTGGGGAACATAAGAAAGTTATATTAAGAAGAACCTGTCAGCATGATGAGATCTCAGCCGTTGCCTTTCACGTCCCCACACAGATATCGAAGGGCAGGTGTTTGTTTTTCCCAAGGAATCTGCTGATGCCCATGTGATCCTGAACATGAATCACAACGGTCCCCTGAAGAACTTCACCGTGTGTCTCAGATACTTTACAGACCTGACCCGACCCTAGGGGGGTGGGCCTTGGAAAAGGGGAGGGTATCCAAGGAAGGACTGAGGCAGGGGCAGGGCAAGGGAGTTTCAGTTTTCTGAAATTAGAAATTTGGGACTCCTGTCTGACAGAGCTGTGTACAGTCCTGGAGCTGGGAAGCAGGGGCAGGCCCAGGGCTGCAGTAGATAGTCACTGGGGAACATTAGAAAGTTGCATTAATGAGAACCTGTCAGCATGATGAGATCTCAGCCGTTGCCTTTCACGTCCCCACACAGATCTCGAAGGACAGGTCTTTGTTTTTCCCAAGGAATCTGCTGATGCTCAAGTGATCCTGAACATGAATCACAATGGTCCCCTTCAGAACTTTACCGTGTGTCTCAGATACTTCACGGACCTGACCCGGGCCTACAGCCTCTTCTCCTATGCGACCAGGACCAAGGACAACGAGATCCTCCTCTTCAAAGACAGACCTGGGGTGCTCTCACTGGTTGTTGGGGGGGAATGGGTGGTCTTTAAATTCCCAGAAAACACAGGCTCAAGCAGAGGCTGGGAGCACGTTTGTGCCAGCTGGGAATCTGCCACTGGCATAGCCGAGCTCTGGGTGAACTGGAATCCCTTACCTAGAAAGGGGGTGCAGAAAGGCTACTCCATCAGCAACCAGGGTGTGATTGTCCTGGGGCAGGAGCAGGACTCCTTTGGGGGTGGGTTTGATGCCTCACAGTCATTTGTAGGGGAACTTAGTGACGTGTGTATGTGGGACCTGGTCACTGCGATGTCTGATGTGCGCGCTGCCAGCGCTGATTTGCAGTTGTCCCCATCTGTCCTGAACTGGGGTGCTTTGCAGTATCAGATTAAGGGCTATGTGGTATTGAAACCCATGCTGAGATAAGGGCCCTATTGAAATGGAGCCTGGCCTTGGGAACCGGGGCCTCACCATCCGGCTGCAAACCCCAAAACTTCAGGTGCACGGCAGAGAATAGCGATGCACATAGGCCTGGGGCTTCTGAGCAAAACTAACATTAACTTCTCCTCTTGTGACTCCTCCCCCAGGTGCTTGTGTCATTTGGGTATTTTCCTGTGTCCAAAGCCTGGTCTGACTTTGTATCCCAATAAATGGTCTGATTTGCTGCCTTATAGCTGTGGCGTAGTGAGAATCCCAGCATAGCCCCAGTAGGTGCAATCTCAGAAAGGGAACCTGGTTTGTGTCCCATTCTGTCTGTGGGCTCTGAGAGTTCTAGGCTCTTAACGTGCAAAGGAGTCAGCTCTTCCTTGGGAGAACCAGCCCAGAACATCCTGATCAATATTAAACACCTTCACTGGTGTTTAACGACACAAACAGTCCCCGTTCCACAGTGAGATGGGACCCAGCAGGTACAACTTGGAGCTGGGGTAAGACTATGCCCCCTTAACTCTTTAGCCCAAGCTGTCTCTCACAATGCACAAGGAGCAACCCCGTACGGGAACTCTTATCACTCAGTATGACGGCAGGTGTCACTCCAGACACAGCTAGATCGCATGAATGCCCCTGAGCTTCTCACAAGAAATCACACAGAGAAAGACCCCAGGAAATCTCCCAATCACCTGGCCAGGCAGCTCAGAACTGTGCTGTCTTGTCTGGCTCAGAAGCCTGACCAGTGTAAGTTCATTACCCTGCCTGTCCTTCCCTCAATGTGGAGAGGGCACACACCCACCTTTAAACCGGAGCTCAGATTTCCCAAGTAATTCAATGAATCCACAGTTGTAGAGTTGAATCACAGGCTGAGCCATACCCCATTGTTAAAAAAAAAGGTGCTGGTATGTGCGGTGCGAGTACTCCCAGTGCTGGCTGGGGGCTGTGCCAGGGGACAGCGGTGTGGCGCGATTGCTCCCCAGAATGGTACCAGTACGCTGTACCGGTGTGTACCACCACAAAAAAAGCACTGAGTAACACTCCTACGAGTGGATCACCACTGAACAGTACTGAGCACTGAAAGACCATCAAACTTAGAAGGTCTTTCAGTAACAACCACTCAGCACACAGTCGTAATTTCAAACACACACTCAAGCTTGGAATGACCGATCGGTTTTAGCAGCTCACGACCTTTCATGTGCTATTTTATAGGGCAGGCTTTGTATGAAACAGACTAAAGCTCTTCGCAAGGGTGAATGTTGGGGCTCCAAGGTTCTGTGTGGAGGTACAGGGTGCCACGCCGAGCCTGTGCCAGGAATGCTCACTTTTTCTCTATAATCATGTCAAGTGCCGTGACCTCCAAATTCCCTTTTTGGAGCCAGTCACACCTAGAATGCTGGTGCTGTTATTGGCAGTTACGGCTCAAGGAAGGGATCATGAC